CCCCTACCGCCCCCTTCTGCTCCAGCGCCCCCACACCGCCCCTTTTAATTCTATCGCTCCCCCTGAAAAATGAAATCGCCCTCTGGGGGGCATTATTGCCCACGTTAAGAACCACTGCAATAAAAGATAGAACACTACGAACACAATGCACATTGTTGCAGGAAGTCTGCAAAATGAGACACAATTTAAAACGTCTGATGAGCTCATTATTGGAGTTTCAAGAACAAATAACTGACAGCAATGTGCACTGTGTTTGTAATGTTCTGTCTAGTATTGCATGCACTTTATAAACTGTATCATATAATTTTATAATATGTTTTTCTGTGTTACTCACCTTCCCATGGAAGGTGGAAACACATTGGTTAAACAAAATAAACTGAACATCCTTTGGCATTCTGAAAGTCATTCTCCTTTTTTCCTGGTGAGCATTTGCCAGTTTCAGTTTTTAATTGCTGTTACTGTAAACACCATAGCAGAACAAATATCATGTTTAAATGAACTACTATCTCACTGGATTTTGATTGGTTGGTTGGTTGGTTGGTTGGTTGGTTGGTTGGTTGGTTGGTTGGTTGGTTGGTTGGTTGTTGGTTGGTTGGTTGGTTGGTTGGTTGGTTGGTTGGTTGGTTGGTTGGTTGGTTGGTTGGTAAAAGCTTATAGACTAACTGACTAAAGGAAATCACTACTTGGGGTGGTTTGCATGACACAAAACAAACCAGACAACTAAAATTAAAAATAATTAAAAGAAGTACCTTCAGTATTCTAATCAATCAACATTAATCAATTAACAATTAAAAAAAGCAACCCACAGCTGCCCGCTGACATGAATAACTTGAACCAAGTTAGGAAACCATATTAAATTATCACAGTATAACTAGATATCCAAATCTCATCCAATTTGAAGAATCAGCATCACCAAAACAAGCAACATTTCTCTGTGATACCTATTGGCATAGAGAGACCCTCAGAATCCAAGTCATACCTCAGAATGATTCTCAGTTGGCATGTAGCTAGCAGTCGTGCTGAACCCTTTGCTGACTATCTGGATCAGCACCAGTCTTTGGACATACAGTAATATATGTATGGGTTGGGCGTCCTCTTTGTTGGCCCCTGTACACACCTATGACTTTATGTAAAAGTGTTTGGGGCGAGTGAGGAATCTTGTAACCAGGGGAGACACCCTGCCTGGATGCCTCTGTCTGATCCTTTACCTTCCAAATCCTGTAGACTGTATGTTTTGTACCCCTGCCTGGATGATTCTAATTGGTTAAGAGCCTGCCTCACTCAATAATGGCTGCGGCAAATGACTTCATGAAAGAGAGAGTGGCCTTCCGTCCTCTGAAGAAACCTTTCCTGGAACACTTGAATCCTAGGAATTCCAAGTCAGCCTATAAATGTCTAGGGGGTAGGCCTACCATTGGACCATGAGGTGGCCATCTCAGACAGCGTAGACTGGGTGTTACAAAAGGGCAGCTAATTTTTAGTCATTTGGAAAATCACTTTCTAAAAGTGCTTTGTTATTGGTAAAGTCTGAAGACACCCCCAACACATAGTTACTGATTTGGTTAAAATTATTAAAAGTAACTCTTTACTGACCCATAATGGTAGCTGATGCAACAAAATAAGAAAGAACTGTGTGCCATTTTTAAACTAATAGAAGTATCATAGCATGAGATTTCACAGATACACAACCCTGAGGGATGTGTCCCTTAAAACCCGGGCTACAGTAAACTGGTCATCTGGAAGGTGCCAAATGACTCTGGTTCTTTTCTTTGTTTCACATTCTTGGTTTTCAAAAGGATCTTAAATACTTATCTAGTAAATAACTTTTTTATATAAATTGGTAGCCTGAGGTACAAAACAGTAATTCTCCCCTTCTAACTCAACACCCTCAGAAGAGTATGAGGCAGCAGTACATGCACACATAGCATAGTGTACACCAGCACATGCACCAGGTGATATTCCTTCTTCACCCTTTATACTTATGTAAATACAAGTGCTTACAATCTTACAGTTACAGTACTAAAGGAAGGTAGTTATCTATCTTTATATTACAATGTACACCTTATGGTCAAAGTAGAAGGTAAGGACAATGCATTTTCCCTCTAACTAAACTGTTTCCCTCCAGCACTGGGATTCACTCAAAGTCATATGCCACAGCAACAAGATTTGCAAATATTACTTGTGTTTACCTTCTAAAGAGAAATCACAATACAAAACAAAGCATGCTAAATCCAAGATACATTGAGGAAGAAAGTCATGTGCTGTGGCAAACAGATATCATTCAGCACTGGAGGCAATACCTCTGCAGATAATTCATTGTCCAATTAGGAACTTCAGCTATTGGGGAAAGCAACTAATTACAAGTAACTACTAATCTGTAGTTATAAGCGATTGGACATTTCAGTTACTTCCAAAATCTAGCCTTTACTTCTCCTTGACAAGGGAGACTGACAAATATGGTGTTGTGCTACAGTTTTAATTAGAGGGAATATGCATTGTTCTTAATTTCTAGTTTGACCCTAAGGTATACATTATGGTCATAAAGTAATGATAGGTAACTTTATCCTTTAGCGCTGATACTGTAAGACTATAGTTACACTGGCCCCATAAAATTAACCTCACATTTCCACAATTTTCTCATGCTGTGTAACCAGTGTAGCAGAGGGGATAGAATAACAGACTGAGGCCTGGGCAGCCTGGGTTCAAATCCCCACTTAGTCATGGAAACTCACTGGGAGCTGGTAAAACTGTTCCTTAAATCTCTCACATACCCTGAAAATCCTGTTAGGGTCGCTGGAAGTAAAATGTGACTTGACAACCTATAGCAAGCATCCAACATTGGCATGAAATTGCTTAGAGAAATCACATGAGCCATCTGGAGTCAAGTGTGATCCACATGCTCCTATGGAGATTATCTGAATTCATCAGGACGTTTAGTTCATAAAACACATTTACTAGACAAGGTTTTGATGGATAATTTTTCAGTACAAATTACCTTTCTGCTACTACTGCTAAGCAGGTTTTAAAAATTAATCTAATATTTCCCAAACTGGCCCGCTTTGGCATGAGTCACAAGCCAAATGGGGTCCAGTCATCTCAGGGTGTGACTACTAGACAGTCCAGTTATCTCAGGCTGGAATGGACTAAATAGGGTCACTTAAAAGTGCAGTATGGCATTTAGAGCGATCCTTCCTGTGCAAGTACTGGATGGTTTCAGGATAAGAAACCACACTGCATCCCAAAGCACCTCTCTTTAGCCCATTCATCCCTCTTCACTTCCATGCCCCCTTGCTCTCTCCTGTCTCCCCCTCTGTGGAGAATGGGAAAGTGTTTTTTTTTTAAATCATAATTGGTAAGTGGCATGCCACTGAGTTATTCAAACGAGATAGCACTGGATTCAACAGAAAAAGGAAAAGATCCCTTCCATGAGTGAGATATGAGAAAACTGGATTTTTTTTAAAAAATCTACTTTAGTGGCATACTGCTAATCTGTTGCAGGGAACACCCACTAGTGATGCTTTGGCTCAAGACCTACAATCACACATGCCAGAAACTGAACGAATACAGAGCAATCCTATCTGTGCTTAAAAAGAAAGAAAAAAGCCAGAACGGTATTCCCTGCCAACGATTCAAAAAGGTGCAGACAGCCATGGAAAAGAATTGAGCTGGTTCACAATTCTTCTGTATGCCACTCTTCAATAGGTTGAATTAGGCCATCCCGGCAGAAGGACAAATGGCACAATATATTATAGTGTAGTTGCCCGCTCACTCTCCTGCTTCACCTTCCTCGCATACTCCATAAGGCAGGAAACATGGCAGTGAAAAAGCAAAGCCAACTGGAAGATCTCTGGTCACAAATCTGAGCCTGTCAACAGCATCCAGTTGCATAACAGCCATGCCTTCCCATCTTCAATTTAGTCACAGGTGAGAAAGATGTTTACTTCATTAAACAAAAGGTGCTACAATCAGGGTTTAGTCTCCAAACATCTTGGAACACCAGGAGACCCCTGATGAACAGCCAAATTTATTCCAATAGGTTTTGCTGGCTCAGTTAATGCAGGAACGAGCACCTCCCTTCAAATTCAGGATGCTTATTACTAACTAAGATCAATCAAGTTATTCTGATAACCTGAAGCAGGACATTCTATAATCACCAACCCTTTCTCTGGAGGTAAAGGGGGGAGAGGGAATCCATAACAATAAATAAAAAGAGAGCAGTTGGATTCTTTTCCAGGTTTCAGTATCAGATGCCCTAAATCTGCCACTTAGAGCAACCACCTCACTCTGCCTAGTGGTAGGGCTGGATCTGCATTGGATTGAAACCCTCCCCAGCCTGCTTCATGGCTTTTAACTCCATTCCCTGCCGTTATCCTTCGCAGTTCCATCATCAGTTCTAACCCTCTCATTCCCTTCCAGCTAGCAGCAGCAGCAGCAACAACAGGCAACAACAATATACTGTGTTCAAAATTTCAGAGCATTGTGTCCCTGAAAAGCCTTTCAAGAAATGGGCACAGGTTGCCTGCCATTTCTCACTTGCAGTATAACAAAGAGCTCTTGAATGCTAAACACAAATGCCGAGAAAGATAGGAGAGAAGAAAGAAAAAATGGGTTGACATACTTACGGATACTCCGCATACCCTTTCCCCTCAAACCTCCCAGTTCCAATTCCTAAGGAGTCAGTGGGCTTATATTGGTAGGCAAAAACCAAAGCACCCCACAATGAAGGCTGTGTCTGTCTACTTGGCAAACACTTCTAGAAACCAAATTTCTCAGAAGATCTCATTAACTCACTGCCAGCATTCATCAGTGGCAACTAATAATCCACACTTCAGACTCCATTATCTTAAACCAATCATGCTGAACATTCATTCTGGTCCTGTGGTCTTTTTTGTTTTTTTTTCCCCTCAGGTAAGTAAACATGTTTTCTCACCTGGCCTCAGCAGGTAGAAATCCCCTTTCCTGACAGGGAGACAAAGCTGTAGGCAAAGCAGCACCGGTGTTCCTCTACCTGCGACGCAATTTGCATGGCCCCTCCCCACTGCATTTTCCCCCAGCTCAAGCCATCATTTGTGTTCCAAATGAGACAATCTTTCTCAGTTTAGATCATCACAGTCTGTGCCGGCTGCACTCATGAAGATTTAAATCCCATTTTGAGACATGAAAAAGTGCCCTTTTAACATTATTGTCTGTTGTAGTTTGTTAAGAATGTGAGAACATTCATTACAAGGATCAGTTCCTATGCTGTGTTCCATTCTTATTTCCTTGTACAAGAAGGACTAGTGCAGCGCTAATTAAAGAGTTTCTTCATTTAACCATTACTGGCATTTCTATCCCATATCCAAAGAGCTCACAACAGCATGACTGACTCTCCTCTCTTCTTCTTTATTCTTACAACAACCCTGTGAAGCACACCACACTGCCTAGTGAGGTTCATGGCCCAGTAGGAAGTCTTCAAGCTGTGTCTGTGAAGCTTCAATCATTCCACCACACACAACCCCACCTGATTAATCAACACATCACAAGTACATTGACCACCTAGGGGTAAAACTGCAGTTTCATACTCACTTACATGGAAGGAGGTTGTCTAGTTCTGAGTGGCCATACAGAGGATTATAATAGAAATAATTTGAGGAAGAAATGTGCAATTGCTGGCTTTTGAGCCACGCAAATATTGATGCCTTCTCTTTAATCATCATAGGCCTCCCCTCTGGGCAATTTTGCTATACAATTAATTACTTTTAGTAAGCCAAACAAATGAGTGTCACAATTTCTTGTTTTGCGAACACTAAATCATCAAAATCTACATGGGAAAAGGGGACCCTTTGGTCCTCCATATTACTACACCATGTTTCTCACAACTCCTTATCATTGGCTGTGTGGGATGAAGCTGACAGGGACTGTTGATACGGAAAAAAATGCCTTCTGTATTCCAGAATTGTATCATAACATTAATCCTTTTCTACATGCTGCAACACTATGCACATTTTCATGGGGGCAGTAAGGACTATGAAAGATACATCTCTTACTGAAACTTACATAGGATTGTACTGTAGAGAAGAGATTGTATTGTAGAGGAGGGCAGTGAGGAGAAAATACCAATTGCAAATAAAACAAATGGGCAGCATACAATATTACTTGTGCACACAATGAAGCAGATGCTGTGAGTGCATGTGAGGGGGAGGCGTCTCCTCTTGTAGTTCCCCCTCTCTCACACACTTTAAAAGCCTGAAAAACATGCTATGGAGGGCAGGAACTCCCTCTGGAACATGCCTTCAGATTCAGACAGGCCTGGGGTGTGTGAGAAAATTCCAACTCTATTACCAAGACAGCCACATTGCATTGAGGCCGAAACTTTCCTAAAAAGAAAATATTTGCAGTTCCCATGGATTGCCGTCTAGAATGTCAAAGCAAGACAAATACCCTCCAATATACTTTCCATCAAGATTATATAATCACATCTCTTGCCAAGACTGACATTAATTTAGTAATTATGGTTTGCAGCCTGTAAGCTGAATAATACATCTCATCTCATGCCCTCCATTCCCCAACACATTGTGTTGTGCCACAGCTTTATTGCTACCAATGCAACACAACAGCCTTGATGCCGTTTGCAGTATACAGTATTAAAGCAATCGCTCAGAAAATTTAATTGCTCAAGCCATTTTAGCTACACAATTCTGGGAGTTGTAGTCCAAAAACTAGCTTTCTCACACTCAACAGATATGAATAAGCATGACCGTCTTAAGGGTCAGGTCATGTATGTCAGCAAATGAGTATTTTCTACTTTTTCAGTGTCATCTCTCCAGGCACGCCATTAATTCAGAGCTGGAAGCCAGAGACAACAGACACATAAAGTCATGCTATTTTCCAGCTGACCTACTAAAAACAAAACAAAGCAAAAAATATGAATTTGTCAAAAGCACATAAAGGAAATGTGTGAGAGAATAAACAAACAACCTTTTCCTCTTAGGAGCACTGTTTCTAAATATGGAAAGAGTATTTCATGCAATGATGCCCTTGGCTTCTAACCCTAACATTCTCTTTCTCTCGGCTTGGGTCGCATGGAAGTTTGCTAGTACCTAGCTGTATTTTTAAGAAGTAAAACCATGTTTCCTGATGTGGGGCAGAGATCAACAACAACAGATATTTATAAATAAGCTGACAGACAAATGAGTTAATTTTTCTTAACACAAAGGGGGTAACCCAGTTTAAATGTTACCTAAACTGAAACTGTTAGAAATAATTGGGAAAACTAAAGTGCTTTGTACATTTAAGTTGGAACTTAAATTTTTATTTGCCTGGATTACTCTACAGCATTGAAGAAAGGCCTGACAACCAGCATGGATGGCTGCAAAGTTCCCCCTGGTCTACTCTCCATTGGTTCCCCATCACACCTCATCTCTCTGCTGAAGGTAGCAGATGATGAGGGGGGGAAAGGTTGCAGGCCGACTCTGTTCCTCCTGAATAGATCATCTTCCAAAGAATTGGGAAAGAGAAGGAAGAAGTCACATGGCCTTGAGTCCTGGCCCTGTCTTCAACATGCATAGGAGGTCTTCAAGTGAGGGAAAATAGGGACTCAAGATGTGTCACTGAATAAGGCTGTGTGGATTGAAAGCTTAGGGACAGGAGATCTTTAAGAGGTATACCCCAACTGCTTCTGGATTCCCCTTTGGAGTTGATGTCATGCACCAGCCATCTTTTCATATACTGCAGCTTCTGCTGTCTCCCTCAGTAATAAATCCCACAGGCCAGAAGCTAGTGACCTTCAACATCCTATTAGTTAATGACCCTCCAGTCAGTTACCTATTAGTTAATTACCCTGGCATAAATGCAATGGAATACATTATAGGGGGTGAATTGCCTCTAGCTAACAAATTGCCGCCTGGATTCCATGTCAGTGGTGTAAGCTGGAATCATTAACTAGCATCAATTTCCTCCTGTGAGGAATTTATACCGTTGCACCAATGCTGGCATAGTTAACCAGCAGGATTCTGGCTTGTGGGATTTATTTCTAAAGAGGCAGCAGCTATTGCATATGAAAAGGTGACTAGTGCCCATCATCAATTTAATGGGAGAATTCACAAGCAGCTCAGATACTGTATACTACTGATACAGATATATCTGTAACTGCATCAGTTTGTACTGTTAAGCAATTGAATTCCTACAGGCAGCTTTTTCAACAGTAAGTTTCACTGGACATTGAAGGTGGTGCTTTGGTATATGTGTAGAGTGCAGAACTGTACATTGATGAGTACAAACCTTATAAGTTTCGTTATTTAAGTAGCTTTGTAGTGCACAGTTAAAAGATTTGAAACCAACAGATAATAAGGATTGCTTGGTAGGGAATAATGGGCATTTCGGCATCAAGATGGTGGCTGTCTTGTGTTCTACACGAGACATCACAATGAGACTCCTCAGTTCCCTGTCCTAGGGACCTGAATTTTGAATCCTTGAGACAATTGTTGGGATCTCTTTGGAAGTCAGTGATACTTAAAGGATGAGTAGATGAGGTTGTAAAGGAGGAGGGAGGAAAAGCAAGGGAAGGGTTTTGGTGTGACAGATAGAAATGGTTTTTTCAAAAATCTATGTAGCCATTCCGTGCTCTCGAAAGCTCAAAACATGGATGGAGAAGAGAGGAGTGAAATAACGACTGTGAGTTTTCTACCTTTTTTTCCTGGCAGGGCGTTATCGTTCATTACCGTGAGCATTAACTGTTGAAAATTTGCCCCCTCTAATGTAAACCTAACTGGAAGAGATTTTAAGGGTCACTAACTCTTAATTAATTAAACTGTTAACCCTTGTCTACTAATTGTCCCGTTTCTAGTGTTGTCTAAAATAAATAGGCAGATTATAGGAAATAATTTAGAATAAGGCGAAAGCAAAAGCTTAGTTATTATGACAAATGAAGTCATCTTAAAAATGAATTACTTCAAAACTTACCGTTTTTATAAGTAGTAATCAATAAGTAGATACTATTATCAGTAATAAGAAGTAATTTTGTATCTCATCAGTTTGGGAGGAAGAGTTTGAAAAAGGGTCAGAGATCAGCCAAGGTTCTTTATTGATGGGGAGTTAGTTCCCTGTTGCCAACGTTGGGGAGAAGGGAGAGGTCTAAATTCTAAGCACAAAAATATTGACAATATTATAATATGCCACTGTTCTGACCACTACCACCACCATGCTAGTATTTCCAAAAATAGAACAAAATTGCTAGCTCAGAACATGGAGATCTACTCAGTAGTGGCACACTGTTAATTTTCTATATAACTACAGCTTGTCCCAGAGGAACACATTCATCCTAGAACAGGAGCTACTCCCACACTTTTGGCTACAAGGTGTTGTGAAACTCAGTCTCTCGCAAAAAACAAAAACAAAAAAACATCTATTGTTTGAGTCTTATTCTTTGCTGTCGTAAGCATATTTAGTCCATCCCAGTGCAAACTCAAGTTGAGGGAGATGACTACAGCTGAACTTCAGGGTAAGATAAGGAGTATTCTTAGCTTCTCAAAAATTTTGAAAGAGATCTTGAAAGCCTAAGATACTGAGTATGATTTCTAATTTTTCATAAATATAATCAAAATACCAAATTATACAGCGTAGTATAGTCTATCTAATACTGTATGTAATAATGACCGAACCTGGCTTTTATGCCAAAATGTGTCACATTGCATTAAAAATCTATGGTCATAACATTCTAAGAAATTAGAAATTGGCACTTATTGTTTAATTATGTGATTCTCTCCCCATTCCCTGTTTTGTTTTGCTTGTTAAAGAACAGGACCTTCTGCAGCCTGAAATATTTGGGGAAACAACTACTACTTAAGTTCCTCCCATCTTCCCTGTCAGCTTTTTATGTGCTTAATACCACTCTCACCACACTTTTCTTTTCTCGTCGTCATAGAAAAGATACAGAGGCCCATATATTTTAGTAAGCCCCTTGGGGCAGTGGTTAAAGTGCAGTACTGCAGCCATGCCTCTGCTCAAGACCTGAGTTTGAT